ATCAAAGAATGCATTTAAAGAGGTGTGGCTCCATTTTATGGAAAATTAACTTCTGGGAATTTCTGATGAATGAAGAATTACTGTACTTTTTGCCAAAGCCTGCATTGACAGGCTAAGTGATGAAAAGACTCCTTTTTCCCCGGGTCCTGATTTCCTCCCTCTTGAGTGGGGGGTGAGTGTACCCACAAGATGTGGAGGTGGGGCGTGAAGCCGTCATGACTTCTCCCCAGAGACCCCCAGAGCTCCACGCGCACAGCATGACTCAGTGGCGCCCTTTAAGGAGATAATATGATTGATGACGTGGACAATTAGACTTGTGAACTTGACATCCACATCGATTCCAATGGCGAGGAAGGAAGCGAGAAAATCTATTTTTGAATCCTACCATCTATGATGGGAGAAATTGGTTCTGTTTGGGGGAGAAGTGCGACCCCGCTGAAATCAACACTAAATATGGTCTCAAACCAATGCTTCCCCCCTCCCCCCACTCCCTCTTGTATTTTTCCAAGAACCTGTGGCTGGGCCAGGGGTAGGTGGGCGGAAGCCACTCTTTCTCCCCCGCACCACATGCAGACCTGTGTCCAGGCCTGGGGGACGCCGTGGGCCTGGGCTGTCAGGCGCCTCTCCAGGCCCCACGCAGGAGGCTTCTCTTTGATTGAACTTGAAACCAAACCTTCATGTTCTTGAGCCTAAATGTACCTGTGCGCCTCCAACATCCCTCCCACCTTCACCCTCTGGACCCCTCCCCTCTGCAGAAAAAAAAAAAATTCTCTCTCCGACAAACTTTAGCTCAAAAGAAGAATCAGGGTTGTAGTCACCGTGTGTGCATCTCTAGGTGTGTGCAGGAACCTCACAGCTCCCAAGAAGGCTGGGCTGGCCCTCCCAATGCCAGGAGTGCAGGGGCTCCCTCTGGGGCACCCCATTATCCTCCCTGCCTCCCACTCTTAAGCTCTGTGTGGCTGAGCAGAGAGCTTGGTGCCTGAGTTCCCAGTGGACCGGGTTTCGAACCCCAGTTCTGCTATCCATTACCTGCTCAGCTGTCTCAGGGTCTTCAAGCCTCAGCATGCTCATCTCTGAAATGGGCCTGCAATCCCAAGTCCTGCTGGGAGAGGCCTGAGCAGACAGATGGCCTCTGCTATGGGGCTGGGCTGGACTTGGAAGCCGAGGGAGCAGAAAAGGCGTCTCCCCGCTGCTTGTCTGTGTACCCCTAACTTGGGATGCGGGTGCAGCGTTCCCTGCCCACTGTCTGGGATATCTCAGTTCCCCACTCTAACCAAGCCACCCCAGTAAATGAGCAGCCCCTTTGGGAAGAGCTGCGTCTCCTCAGGCAGGACCAGGGGATCTGAGTTCTCCCTGGAAGGGAGGGTGGAGAATGCAGAGTGTTTGGTAGGAGGAAGTGGGGAGAGGAAACAAACACTCTGGTGGGTCCTCACTGGGCCTCAGTTTCCCTGACTGTGTAATGTCCCACTAGGACGGGACCAAATGGGGGCAGAGAGACCTCCAAAACCCAGCCTTAGGCTTGGAGATTCTCAACTGGGTGCGGGTGCAGAGAAGGATGGGGGTGAGCCCCCCAGCTGCCTGCCCTGCTGTGCACACCCAGGACTAACTGGCCTCTGAGCCCTCCAGCTGGGCCCTGCTGGGCTTCCCAGAGCAGCATCCTGTCCTTAATCACGGGAGAGGTGGTCTGGTGTGGGCCGGGGTGGTTGTTGTGTTTGGAGAAGGGCTGGAGATATCGCTTCTGGAGATAACATTTCTCTGGTTCCCTCGGAAAACTTTCACCCATCACCAGATCCCTTGCTGTCCAACCAGCTGGCCTCTGGCCTCTGGACAGGAGCCCAGTATACATTCTGGCTGCGGTGGGAGGGGCGGGGCGGGGCCCCACGGAAGCACAAGCCTGGGGTCCAATCCGGCCCCAGGCTTGGCAGGGTTAGTCCCAGCTACCTGTGTAGACCACCTGCCAAGCTATGCAGTGTGGAGGGTGGGGGCTACCTGCTCCTCCTGGGGTCCCAGAGGTTTGTACTTTGGAGCAGAGAGGAAAGGAGGGGAGGGGAGGGGAGGGGAAGTGAGCGGTGGGGAGGGGAGGGGAGTGGGGAGGGCACAGATAGAGCAGCATCTGTCTGTCCTGACTCCTCCAGCCCTGCACTCCCCAGCCCCCAGGGTCTGCTTGCAAACAGCAGACGGTGCTGACTTCTCCCCAAGGGACCCCATTGGCATTTTCATGCTTTCTGTGCAGCCTTGAAGCCTGTGACAATCACGAACCTCTCCTCCCCACCGCCGCTGAGCTACCCCTTCTCTTGTCTGCTCGCTGAAAAGAAACCTCTGGTCTCCTGAATTTACAAACGCTTTATTGACACCAGAGCAAAGCCACAGAAAGCTGCAGGCTCCCAGGTCCCGCAGGGCGGAGGCCCCCCGTCCCAGGGCAGCCCGGTAGGGGGCTCGAGGAGAGGCCCTCCGAAAGCCCCGCCCCTCCTCCAGCTCCCTGCAGCCGCCTGGGCGGAGGCTGGTGGCAGCTGTTGGAAGAAGGGCAGGAAGGGGCCAGGCCTTGTAAGTACAGTGGTTTTCTACTCCCAAGAACCCCAGTTCCCTTTGGGGACAACGGTGGCTTCCCTGTTTCTAGGCAAGGAAACTGGGCTCTGAGGGGCAGTGACTGGCCCAGGGCCCTCAGCAGTCAGGGGATGGAGCTGGGGTGAGCAAGCAGGTGCCAGCCAGCCAAGGGAATGCCCTTTCCAGCCGAGCCTGTGGCATTTGGACACCACTGACCAGGCCTCCTTCCCTTTCCAAAACTGGGGAAGACGGTGGTGAGAAAGCAGGGGTCCTGGTGGAGGTGCACTGATGGCCTCTGGAGCCCCCCTTGGTGCTCGGTGCAGCCCACACCACACTCATGACTAGAACTGAAAGGGGGGGGGGGGGCGGCGCTTGCCCAGGGCTGCGGAGCCTGAGGTCCCTCGCCCCTCCTTAGCTTCTGGCTGAGACCCAGCCTTCTGGAGCTGCCCGCTGAACTGGGTAGGATAATTTTGGAGGCTGAGGTCAGGGTCCCCTGAGGGAAGAGAGGTGGGGGGGCGGGGATAGTGGGGAAGCTACGGCCATCTCTGTGCAGTGGACAGGTGGGCCTCGAGGCCTGGGCCTCCGGCCACTCTCACTGAGCCAGGGGCCTTGGGCAAAACACTTTCCATCTCTGGACTCAGTTTCTTCCCTTGAGAAGGGGCCATGGGAGTTGGGAATAACAGAAAGGCAGGGGCATGCAGTGGGTACCCCAGTGCCCCCCCCCCTGCTTTCTGGGTCTTCAGCAGAGAATACCAGGGAAGGGGCACCTTCTCCAAGGGGGTGAGGGCTTCCCTCCAGCTTCTGGAAAGCCAACCAAGAAATAGCCAGAGTCTCCACCCCAGTTCAGACATAGGGCCTTAGGACCCGGTGCTGGGGGCTCACCTGGACCTGACTCCCCACCCCGTGGATCCTCAGGTCAGCAAGTGTGTCCTCAAACCTTCCAGGTCCTGGGGAGATGGCTGGAAGGCCAAGGCCCCACCCCAAGGTTCAAAGTGACAAAGATCCCCGCCCCCCCCCCCCCCCCATCAGCAATGTGGGAAAGGGGAGGCCAAGACGCAGGGGAGGGTGTGACCTGAGTGAGCACCGCACCTGGATCTGTATGTAAATGAACCTATGCAAATGCAGGGTACACAAAGGACCCCTGAAGATCCTGACCTCCTACACACCTCCAATCCCCTTCCTCCCGCCCCCACTGCAGCTCCAAGACTGCCCTGAACCTCCCACATCCCCACAGGGAGCAGGAGGCTGCCCTGCCGAGGGTCAGGCTGAAGGCCCAGGCCGGCTTTCCCCAGGAGCTCTTTGCAGAAGGAAGGTCTGTGGTGGGGTCCCAACCCCCCAGCCCAAGCCCCTAAAGGCCCTCTCCGAGTCCCCCCCACCCTGCTTCCGGGGGCCTGGAACGTGTGCTGGGTGCCTGGTTTGTATCTGTGTGTGGGAGAAGAGCAACCGTGTGAGCTTGCCCACACACGTCACTGGGAGCAAAGATTGGTGTGAGCGTGTGCGCTGGGTGACTGTGTAAGTGTGTTTAGGTGAGTGTGTAACCAAGAGCCAGTGGATGGTAAGTTCTGGGGCCTGGGTGTTGTGTGTTTGTGAATATCAGATGTGTGGCTGTGCAAGTGTGTGAAATCTGCTTCGTCACGACTAGGGCCCTGACCGAGGCCCTGACTGCGTATGCAGGTGTGTGTGTGGGGCGGGGGGGTGCAGGTAATTGAACATGTGCTCGGCGTCTGCATGTTTACAAGGGGCTCGCATGTTCAGGTGTGCACGTGGCTCGGAACGTGCCTCCGTGTGGACGGCCGGGCCCAGGGTTTCATAACCGTATGTGCGCGGGCCTCTCTGCGTGCCCATGACTGGGCATGTGGCACTCCCCGCTGTTTCCATAACGGGCACTTGTGTCGCGGCGTGAGTGTGAGGTAGGCTGTGTCTGGGTTGCAGTGGGTGTCTGCGTTTCCCCGCGTCTTTGTGGTCAGGGGTCTGAGGGCTCGTCACGAGGGTTTTTCTAGGTGCGTAGTTCATCTGTAGCGTGTGCGTGTGTTTTTCTGGCCGTGCGCACCCTGGCCTGCGTGCTCGGGACCTTGGCGATGTGAGTGTTTTGGTGACGGGGTGCGTGTGTCTGTATTCGGAGCGCGTCCGAGCGCCGTCCTGGGGGCTGCGGCGGACCCCGGCCGCTCCTCGGACTTGTGCCCAGCGGCCCGGCGGTGCGCGCCTCTGCGCCGTCCTGTGTGGGGAACGTGTGCTCCACGCGCACGGGGTACCTGTGCCCGTCTAGCCAAGAGTGCGCCTCGTGCGCGAGCGGGTTTCCGGGACGCGGCAGAGGTGGGGGGCGGCCCCGGGAGGGGCGGGGGGTCACCGGGACTGGCCGGCGCCGGCCCCGTGCGCGCGGAGGCGGGGGCGGGGGGCGGGGGCCGCGGGGGGGCGGGGGGGCGACGGTACGAAAAGGGCGGTGCGCGCGGCAGCGGCGGCAGCTCGGCGGCGGCGGCATTGGAGAGCGCAACGCGGAGCCGGGTGCAGCCCTGGCTTTCCCCTCACAGCGCTCCCGCGCCCCCTTTCGCATCCGCAACCAGAAGCCCAGTGCGGCGCCCGGACCCGGACCCGCGCCCGCGCCTCTCCCGGGACCGCGACCCCGGCCGCCCCGCGATGACCGCGACCGCAGCCCTCCAGCGCGTCCTGCTGCTCCTGCTGGCCTTCGGCCACCATGCCCATGGTGAGTGCCCCCGGCGGCTCGGCTCGCGCCCCCTCTGGGGAAGCCTGCGACGCCCCCCGGCCGCCCAGTGCCCTGCACGCCCCGTCCCATGCGCCCGAATTCCCGCCCGTCCCGCCTAACCCTAAGCCCCCGCGCGGTACCTGCCTCGCCCTCTCCGCTCCCCTTGCGCGCCAAGCCCGGCCCTGGGGGTCCCGGGGGGGGGGGGGGGGGGGAGGTGTGGGACCCCAGCCTCTTCCCGCCTCACAAAAGTGGTGCTCGGAGGGGTGTCGGTGCGCTGAGACAAGAGGTAGGAGAAACGAGGTGATGCTGGGAGACCTGTGAAAAGGCTCTGGGGTGCAACTTTGGGGGTCTTTGTGCGAGCATCGGGGTACAGGTCTGTGGGGGCAGCGGGGGTGACTTTGCCATCACAGCCCCAAATTCCCAACCAGGAGCCTGGCCTGGGCCCTGCTGCGTGGTTTCTCTAGGTGAGGGGATGCGACACTTCTGCCTTCAGCGGCCATCTGCCTCTGACAGCGAGAGTGGCCCCTCCCGCAGGGCCCCCGCCCCACTGCACCGGTGGGCATGAGGGAGGGGGCTGTTTGGAAAGCTGGGGTGCAGGTTGACGTAAATGCACACAGTAGGCGCCTATGAAGACGTCAGAATCTTTAAATAGGGTCAGGATTGATTGCAGTCAAGCTCTGCAAAGCTGTGGCGCAGTTTTTTTTTTTTCCGATGACGAGTGTGGGGCAGGGGAAGTTGGAGGGGACCCTGACTTGGGTTCCTGGCTTCACTGGGATGAACCTTCACAAATATCCAGATGCCTTACCTGGGAGCTGCCAGGTGAACCTGCCTGGCTTTCCCCGGAGATGAATACCTCAAAATCTGCTCCCCCTCCAGCCCACTTAGCAAAACTGAGGGTTTGCCTGAGTGCCCAGGGGTCAAAGCCTGTCCACCCACCTCCCCCTTCCCCAGTTTCAGGGCTTGAGGTCTCACACTTTGTTTGGAGGGAAATGAGATGTCTGACCTGCTGGTGAGAATAAAGCAACGGTCTGTGGTCACTCCTTAAGCAGGAACATGGTAGAGAGCTTTTCCTGGGTGGGTTGATGGGAAGGACCTACTGTGTGCCAGGCCGGTAGGACCACAGAAGGTGTGTGCTCCCTTGCTGTGGCCTTTGGGGCCTGGTGAGATGAATGGTGTCACCTTTCTTGTGCCTCAGGAGCTGAATGCTTCCCGCCCTGTAACCGCCACTATGGATTCTGCACCGAGGACAATGTTTGCAGGTAATGGAGTGCTCCCCCTGAGGCACCTTGTGGGGGGCTAGGGCAGAATCCAGGGAGTCATGGTGTCAGGCAGAAAAAAAGGGGGTAAGGGGCTTGGCCACTAGGCTGCAAAAAAACAGCTTTGTCACCATCACCCCCGCAGGAAACGTGTGCGATGACGCAGAAACCTGGGGGGGGGGGGGACGGCAGGGGGTGGGGCACAGCCATAGCTCCTGATGATGACACACCTCTGCGGGCCACTGCAGCAAAACGCAGCACACAGCACGCTCTGGCCTCCCAGGGCCCCTCTGTCTGCTCCTCAGACGGCCCCTCTGCTGAAGCTTTTCCATTCAGGTGACTGGTGTTTGCTTCCTGGGACCCTCTGGCCTGGCACTGTGCAAAGACCCCTAAGGCCCTTGTACGCAGAAAGCAGCCCCGCTCCCATGTCACCCCTGCCCATCCTCAAATGTACTCTCCCCGCCCCCTGCAGGTGCCACCCTGGCTGGCAGGGACCCCAGTGTAACGAATGCATGCCCTTTCCTGGCTGTGTTCACGGATTCTGCGACGAACCCTGGCAGTGCACTTGCAACGAAGGCTGGGACGGGCACTACTGCGACATAGGTGGGCACTCCCCCTGCCCTCCCCCACCCTCACCCCTGTCCTCCCCCTCCCACCTTATTCTAATGCACCTGATGCCCTGTGTGGTAATGCCCTGTGAACACACTTCCCCATGGATGGTGGCAGGAGCCTCCTCACAGGTAAGGGACGTGATTTTGCTCCCTCTGCACCCTGTACCCAGAGGATGCCCTGGGGTGGAGTGTCGGGGGGCTGCCTGTGGAGTAAACACTCCCAAAGTAAGCACACACCACACAGAGCTGAGCGGGTGGGGACCACAAGCCTGCCCCGGTCACTGAAGCTTGGGGAGTAGGAAGGACAGGGGTGTGTGTGACGCAGCAAGAAAACTCCAACAGGTCCGCACTGGAGACTGCTATGAAGAGCTGCCGAAAGCAAGCAAGCAAACAGGGGAGGGGCGGGGACCAGCGCTGAGGGGTGGGCAGCAGAGGCTGAGGCCGGCCCGGGGTCAGGGCTGGGGGCTGGGACAGAAGAACTAAGGTGGAGGGGGGCCTGGGCAAGGCTGAGAAGAGGTTAAAGGATGGATTGGTGTTATCTATTGATTTCATTAATTTATGCAATCTTTGTCCTCCATTACCCCGAGCGATGGAGAGTTGGCTGCGTTTTCAGGCCGCACATGTTCCTCTGAGATCGTTCTCATTGGGCAAAACCTGCCTGGAAACCTGGGCAGAAGGAAGTCCTGGAGAAAACTCCCGCAGCCTAGGCAGGGCCTCGGTCCCCTGGTGCCCAACGTTAGCAGAGACTAATAGGGAAACTGAGGCTCAGAGAAGCCAAAGGGTTTGCTCAGGATTCATTCTCACCTGGGCCTTTTCTAATGCCCTCCCTTAAGGGAAACGGAAGAGCAGCTAGTTTTCAAAATCAAGCACCCCCCCACCCATGTCTTGGGTCCTTGAAGCTCCCCCCCACCCCCCACCGCTATGGCGCAGTTTTATCAGCAGCTGACTCATGCAGGCCTGCAGCTCTGCTGCCCCTCCCACCGCGCCCTCGCAGGAGCTCTAACTGGGGACCAGAGGATCCCAGAGACATCACCATCTAGGATTAGGCATTCAGCCTGGAGCCCACCCAGTTGGGTATCTGAGCCCGGGACTCCCCACGGGGTTTCCAGACCAAGGTCCCCTCCTCCCTGGGTTGACAGGCCCTCAGCTTAGGACGCTGGGTCCAGGGGAAGCGGCCTCCCGGGTAATGGAGGGCCCTCTCCCTTTTCCCTTTTCCCCTGGTCTTTCAGGCTGTCACTGTCACGGTCAGTCAGTCGCAGGCAGCGCAGCTGCTGCCCCTGCCCCTGCCCCTGCGTAGGCCCGGCTCCCCTCCCCCACGGGCAGCCTGCTCCTTGGGCAAAGGTGGGCTCGGCCTCTGCTCAGGAGGCTTGACACTGAGGGGACAGGAGTAGGTAGGGTCGTCACCGCCCTTCAGCCTATATTTCAGGCTCCCAGGTGGCCGCCGAGCCCTGAGCAGAGGCCGAGGAAGGAGCTGGCCGCCAGGCTCACGGGCTCAGGCTGTGCTGGCGCCCTCCCTCCCTAATGATAAATCCTCTTTATGTTGCCTCGCTCCCAGCTGGGCTCCCAGGAACGCCTGGTGGGCTCGGGATAGGCCATCAGCATGGCGTCCAGGCCTTTCTCTATTGATTGCTTGCCATCTCCCCTCCGCCAGGGAGCGGTCTTTGTAACAGAGGGGGAATCTGTCCATGTGTAGACCCCTCCCCACCATCTGCCTTAACTAACTCGCTGTGTCTCTGGCTTTCTATTTGGTAGAAAATCAAAGCTAAAAAAAAGGTCCCTCGGAGACCCACCAGCGAGAGCCCCTCCTTTTATACTTGGAGAAAGTGAGGCACGGATCGGGGAGGGAGGGGTTGACCTCCGCAGCTGGCGGGAGGTGGGCACAGGACGGCCCCTCCCAGGCAGGCGGGGGTCTGGGGGCCGCACTGTCTGAGAGCCCCTGACCCGGGCCCCTTTGTTCGGCGCGTCCTGGGCTCGCTGAGCCGGGATAATGAAGTGTGCGTGACGGGAGGTGTCGAAAGGCGGTGGGAACGTACCCGTGTTCATGGAAACGCACGCTGACGGGAGAGGGCTCGATAGTTCTCATCTTGCTGCCTTCAAAAGAGCCAGCCTTTTAATCTTGGGCCCCCTTAGTTCAGAACCTGCACGCAGAGACCACCTGGAGGAGGAGGCAGGGCTGGGCTAAATCACATCTCCATTTCCCCCCTGCCCCTGGGGATGGGCTGGCACAAAGGGCCTCTGGTGTTTCTAACGGTTGGGCTGTACTAGTCCCCCAAGTGGCAGCCACCCCCCAAAAAAAACACACACACAAAAAAACCACGAAGAGTTGGGTGTGCAAAGCTGCCTGGAGGAGGCAGGCATGGGGAGCTCAGTGCACTTTTAGGGGAGGAAGGTGTCTGTCATGAAGGTGATGATGCTGGACTGAGGGGTGACTTGGTTCCCCAGAAAAGGGGAGAGGTGATCTGGGTGGAGTGGCAGGGAGCAGCTGTGACTTTCTGTCCCCGTGACCGAACACAAGGGCCCTCCTTCAGCTCCCTAAGCTGTTCAGGAATATTTTTTTTTGGGGGGGGTCACTACACCTCTTCCTCAGGACCCCACTCAGTGACCGTTGGCAGTGGCCACAGGCGGAGACATGGAGGCAGCCTAGCTGGGGTCCCTCTCTCGACCAGTTGGAGGTGTGTCTTCCTGCCTCTGTCCCCCCTCCCCTCCCTGGTCTGATGTTCTCTCCCCTCCCCCAGACATGCGGGCTTGCACCTCGAACCCCTGCGCTAACAACGGCACGTGCACCACCATGCAGAAGGGCCACTACCAGTGCACCTGTGCCCCTGGCTTCTCGGGAGAGAACTGCCAGAAGAAGGACGGGCCCTGCGAGGTCAACGGGTAAATATTCCTCCCGTTACCTGGGCTCTGATGAATGCGGCCTCTGATTCCCCTTCTCGCCCCTAAAGCCCCTTTCAGCCTCAGCCAGTGAGACCTGGCGCCTGACAAAAGACCAGCAAGTCTGCAGCCCCGTGGGGGGCCGCCCTCCATCAGAGGAAGTGTCATTTCCATAATTTCTTCAAATGATCCCGAAGGCGATTTCATATTCCCCTGCCCTCCCCGGGTCCCGTGTGTGAATGACAGTAGATTGGGATGGAGCTCGGAGCTTGGAGCTGCATAATTTTCTACAGGCGACTGGTGGGGTGGGGTGGGGGGAGAGATCAGTTCCGCAGGGCCCCAGGCTGTTTTTGTGAAACCCACACACCTACTTTAGGGGGTGGTTTTAGGGGCTGGGCAGCTCTGCAGGTGGGTTTGCTGGGGGTGTCTCAGGAGGAGGCTGCCTGGCTGAGGGGGGAGGGGAGGGGGCTGTGGGCCAGCACAGGGAGGGGCGGGGGCGGGATGGGGAGGACAAGCCATAAGGGCCAGGGGCTGGGGTCCACCTCTCAGCTACCCTGAGTGGGGAGGGAGCCCTGGGATCCTGGGCAGTGGGCACCGAGGCAGAATGGCCACTGGTCGGTCCTGTGCCTCCCTGAGCAGGGTTCCCCACAGCCCCCCCTCTGGCCCTTATGTGCATAGCTGCACGGAGGGGGCTAAAAGGGAGGCTAGGAGAGATCTTGACACCAGCGAGAATTCCACCTGGGACCCCTAGCCCCTGGCCCAGGGGCTGCCCTGCCACACCAGCGCCTCCTGCCCTGGCATTGCAGGGTGGTGTGGAGGACGCGGACTGGCTGGTGCCACAAGCAGGCACATGTGAGGCGTGGAAAGATCAGGACTCCGAGGGCAGGGGCGACATCGCACACCGTGCCGGCTTATCGGAGAGAAGGGAACATTCAGAGCCAGCCCTTTAAAATATTTTGCTTTTCTCTCTAACAAAATCCAGCCCGGGGTCCTTGAAATTCCTTCAGAGCCCTGCTCCTATGCCGCCCTCCTCCTAGGGGCGACGCGGCTTTCTCGCGCCCACCCCCCCTTTCTTCCCTGGAGTTTCGGCATTTATCAGATGACAAAGGGCCCGCTCCTTTAGAAGCACTTACGTTAAATGCTCCGTGCGCTCCGCTTGGAGCAAACAGCTTCGGTCTGCAAGCTGCACTTGGGTGAATGAGCCACTATTAACCAGCGGCAGGGGCGCAAAGACAGACCGCGTATTTCTTTCACTCGGAGGGTCCCCAAGGGTTTCTGCACAATGGGCTGCAGGCTCGCTCCGCTGAAAATAAAAGTAAAAATAATAATGGGGTGGTGATGGGGGGTGGGGGAGACCGTCAGGGACGTCCCGTGTGGCTCGGCGTTGGGGGCGTAGGGACCAAGCTAGAGGAGGGGGCTCCCTCCAGCCCTGCCTTATCACTAACTTTGCCTCTCTCAGCCTCAGTTTCCCCCACCAGTCCAGGGACTCACTGGCAGACCTCTGGTAGGAGAGATGGGCATCCGGGAGGTCGGTGTGCTCCAGGTGGGGGTGAGGGGCACGACCCACCCAGTGGGCGGCTGCCTCGGACACCAGAGGCCCTGGTAGGCAGGGGTCCCAGTGCCCGCCGCCTCCCCAGCACCCCTGGCTGGCATCACTCACTCCCCTCCTGTGTTCTGAGCATTTGCCCGCAGCACCACTGTCCCAGCCCACCCCCCAGGGGACCTTTGCCTTGTCCCCTTCTGTATTGCAGTTCCCCCTGCCAGCACGGCGGCTCCTGCGTGGACGATGATGGCCAGGCCTCGTATGCCTCCTGCCTGTGCCCCCCTGGCTTCTCGGGCAATTTTTGCGAGATCGTGGTCAACAGCTGTACCTCCAACCCGTGCGAGAACCAAGGCACCTGCACCGACATTGGGGGCGACTTCCGCTGCCGCTGCCCCCCTGGCTTCGTGGACAAAACCTGCAGTCGCTCCGTGACCAACTGTGCCTCCGAACCGTGCCTGAACGGGGGCACCTGCCTGCAGCACTCCCAGGTGAGGTTCGAGTGTCGGTGCCGGCCCCAGTTCACAGGTCCCCTCTGCGGCAAGAAGCGCGCGGCGAGCTCCCAGCAGGGCACCCGTGTGCCCAACGGGCCCGGGCTGGCCTACCGCGTGACCCCCGGGGTGCACGAGCTGCCCGTGGGGCAGCCCGAGCACCACATCCTAAAGGTGGCCATGAGGGAGGTCAAAAAGGACACCCCGCTCCTCTCCGAGGGCCAGGCCATCTGCTTCACCATCCTGGGCGTGCTGACCGGTCTGGTGGTGCTGGGCACCCTGAGCATCGTCTTCCTCAACAAGTGTGAGGCCTGGATTGCCAACCTGCGCTACAACCGCATGCTGAACAAGAAGAAGAAGCTGCTGCTGCGCTACAACAGCGGGGAGGACATGGCCGTCAACATCATCTTCCCCGACAAGATCGACATGACCACCTTCAAGGAGGCTAGCGACGAGGAGATCTAAGCAGAGATCTAGGCAGAGCCCCCACTATTCTACCCCGCCCCCTCCATCCTCGGGGTCCCCGCAGAGCTCACCTGATGCGGTCGCTTCTAACCTCGGTGGGCGAATTTGCTCGCTCTCGTGTCAGACCCGGTGAACGCGCTACGCTTCGCTGTGTTATTCTTTGTGCCTCTACTGTGTGACCAATGCAATGCGCTCAATGCAATGATGAAGGCCACCCTCCCCCCTCTTTCCCCATGCATGATTAAGAATAAGAATAAGAATTTAATCTTTAAACGAGTAAGATAAGTAGCATGTCGTTCTAAACTTTAAATTTTAGCATAAAATAAAAAAAGACAAAAAAAAAACAAGGCAACTGGACCAGGACTCGGTGTGTCGACGTCCCTCCCCGAGGGGCCTCGGCCACAGGGTCCTTGTAACGTATTCTTGCATGACCAACCACTGTGACCTGGGCTAAGACCCCTTTCGTTCGTTAATTCTCACACGCCACATCCGACTCGCACTCACTTCAAGTTCAACATCGCAGTCCTTAGATCTTTGTGATGGAGTTGAGGATTTTGCAGAGTGCAGCGGCCATGTGTCAGGCAGAGAGAAAACCCCGGGTTGGCTGCTGGGGGGCCGGGACCTCGTCCCAGCCCTGCCACTAACTCGCTGCGTCACCCTTAGCGAGCCCACCATTTCGCCCCTCGTGAGGGAGGGGCTTGACCCCAGTGACCATCAAGGTCCTCTCTTGTCTAAAACTCTGAATTAGGAACGATGGGGGATGAACCAAAACAGCTTCCGACCCTCCCGTGAGGATCGCGTGGAGACTCGGTCCCATCCCCGGGTCCGCATGTTTTGGTCTATTCCGATGCCCACTTGGCGTCCTGAAATCACCCCTAAGTGCAGTTTTCAAAGTGGGGAGCCTCCTGGCTCGCTTTCCATTTGGGAACGATTAGCCGCTTTGAGTCACAATACGTCGCCTTGGAGTTGCCTCTCGGGCAACCCCCACCCACCAAAATCTCCAATACTCTACGCCCCTTCCCCCTGTAGATTAGCCATATTTCTTAAAATGGAAATGCAGGTGAACCGCAAGTGCCCCTGGCGAAGTCTGAGCAGCAACACGGCCCTCCCCTAGGTGTTCGCAGGGGTTAGTGGAACCTGTCCCTGGTGGGGCGTTTTCTCGTTCTGTGGCCGAAGGAGTACCAGGCCTGGCCTACGTGGCTAAGCAGTTCATTTGTGTTGCCGAGTTAGTAACGCTCAGATCCTGAAAGACCTAGCCAGTTTCTGAATCATGAACTTGACTTTTTTAAGAAGAGCATCTATTTTTGTTGGGGGGAAAAAAAATGGAGATGGGACAGAGTTCTGTCTAGCTCCCCAGCTCTTCGGGTTGGGCAGCTAAACAGTCCTTGGGTACCAGACAGGACTATTTTGCTTCTTAAGTTATTTGGGTAGGAATCAATACTCTGAGCTTTGTTGAGTATTACTGACGTGTTTACCTTGCTTCAAGTCATCATCACCTTCATCATGGTCATTCAGATCACCACATGCGTCACCGTCATCACTCAACCATCAACCTTGTCACCCCCACCCACTCAACCACCACCAAGTCCCTTGTCATTCTGGTTCCAAGCCTGTCATTTTCCCCTAAACCTGATGTCCCACTCCCAGTTCCTCCTCATCCTAGCCCCAAAATGCCACCCTGGTCACCTCATCCCTGACAGGCGATGTCACCCCAAACTCCCATCACCTTCCCCGTCAAACCCCTCCCCATTTTAAACCTGCCCTTCCTCTCCTGCCTCCCCACAGTTCTCCCTCAACCCCAAACCCTGTTACCACCGCCAAGGCCCCTCCCACCCCTGGGCTCCTGTTGCTGCGCTCCTGCCCCTCCCCTCCCTCACCCTCATCCCCTGGCTTCCAGGCCTCTCATCTCTGATAACCCCTCCCCCCAGTCCTTCCTTCTCCCCACAAGTCATTTGAGTCAACATCTCATTTTAAGTGTGTCTTAAAAACTTTAAAAAGACAAAAAACAGAACGGTTGGCATGTGTCGGGTGGGTGTCCAGCACCCGCCTGGCCTCTCTCACGTGAGACCTTGATCGAGTCAACTACCGGTTCTGATCCCAGATTCCCCAAACTTGAAATTCTGAGATTGGATGACATGATCAAATTCTATGCGCCCCCTTTTCGATCTCCAGGCTGTGGAGAGCAGCCTTGTCCCCCGGTGACAAGGAAGAGACGTCCCGCCATTTATCCTTGACCCACTCCTCATCGGTCCACCCATCCATCCACCATTCATTCAATCAGGAAGCATTTCCAAGCACCTGCCGAGTGCCAGGCAGCGTGCAGGGAGCTGCAGGTCCCGCAGGGTGAGGGGCAGTCTTGGGAGGGCAGGGGACACCCAGGTGTCCCCAGGAAGCCAAGCGCAGTGCAGGTAACATGCCGTGGGAGCATTGGAGGGTCCTCAACAGACGCCTCCCTGAGAACCTGACCATCTCACTTCCCACGTGACAAAGTCTCTCTTACCAGCACCTGATGTGGCCGCCCCGCCCAAATTCCACAGTGCCCAGCTCACCCGTCCCGTCCCGCGAGATCAGAACAGGGTTAGTGCCTCGCCTCGGTCTTCACGCCCCGCAGAAACGGCGCCTACCCTCCTTGGTGGGGGCGCCCGGTTCTGCTGAGAGTGTCGGGACTTCGGCTGCCCACCGCACCTCGGTGTGTGTGGGGTCGTGTGTAGTTTACGTAAACACAAGGGGAAGCTTTAAGATGCTGTCAGCGACATGACCACCAATTCGGCCCCAAAACTGAGAGAGGAGTAGGCGTGATTATCTTCTTGTAACCCCAACAACGTGGAAAATGTCAATGGCACTCTTTGGCTTTCCCATCTACTCGCCCAGACGTGCAAAAAAGTTTGTTTATTAAACAATAAACAAAACCCAAGGGCTACTCATGTTTCTGTGGTGTGTGTGTGCTGTGTGCGTCGGCTACCCTTCTCCCTTCCCTGGGCCGGGGGCCCTGCTCTGGCCCCATCCAGCCCTTCGCACGTGGGGAGGAGGCCAAGGCTAAGGGCGAGCCCACCCACCCTTCTGGACCACACTCCGAGTGTTTGCAGACGGGAATTTCCTGCCCCCCTCCAGGGCCCTCACAGCCTCTTCCCTGTGTCTTGGTGGCCATTTGTGGGTGGTGTGGGTGATGTGGGAGGTGTGAGTGCGTGGTGTGGGTGGTGTGAGTGGTGTGGGTGGAGGGGGGACGTGAAGATGAAGGGGGTTGTGGGGTAGCCCCAAACCCTCCACAGAGCCAGGGACCAGCTCACTCCAGGCACAGGTTCTATCGAGAACTCCAGGGTGGTCGGGTCTGAGTCCATGCTGGCCCCGCCCTCCAGGACTTAGAGGTAGAATTGTATCTGATACTCAGTTGGGGGACTTGTCGCCTTTAAATGGTGGCACATCCGGTGTATGAGTCCCATTTGTTCTCCTGACTCGGACCTTACATGTTGGGGGGGTGGAGGGGGACCCACCGCTCTTCTGGCCCCAGGCCCGGCCCGAGGCTGGTTGAGTCAGCTCAGTGGAGACGTCCTTTTTAGGTCCCGTGGAGGGGGTGACATTGCCTGTGCCCGCCCTGAGGGATCAGCCAGAGCCCCCACCTCCTGCCAGGGTGCAGGGACCTCTGTCCAGCCCCTCACTCTGCTGGCCCAGAGAGTGACCCTCAGTCTGTGGGGGAGTCTTCTCTCCACTTCCTGCCACACCTCCACACCTGTTCCTTCTCGGCCAGGTCACTGCCACGCCCACCTAGATGCTCAGCCAAGCCTGGGTATCCCCAAGACTCCTCCCTCCTGGGCCCCCATATCCTGCCAGAACTATCCCCCTCAGCCCCCTGGGGTGGGGGTCTCTTCAATGCTACGGGGCACACAGGTACAAGCAGATGGGTGCTACTTCAAAAACTGTAAGAAAATACAATGACAATGTTGAGGTGATAAACGTAGAAACCTGTATGAAAGGCATAGACTTTCCAGGCAAATGTCAATTACCCAGAATCCTCCCCGGGGCCAGTAGGATTAGAGCATTACCTGGGAAGAGCCCCCTTGGGGCCACCTGCCTGCTATCCTGACCCTTTGATGGAACGGGGCACCAGGCTAGGGTCAGGATTCTGGAGCAAAGATGGAGACAAGATGAAGGTCTTTTGATTCTTTCTTTAAAGCTGGGAAAGGGAACCCCAACAAAGTTAACAAAAGAGAATTACTGTCCTCCCTCATGAAAAAACAAAAATCCTCAATAAAATAACAAATCGAATGCAGCCAAGTATCCTATAGAATAAAAAGGTAATATGCAAATGGTTGTTACACCATGACACATAACGACTGATCAGCAGGAGGGCGGGGCAGCCAGCGATGGGAGGTGGAGAACTATGAGTGGCGCTGGGCGGGGCAGCCAGCTGAGACAGGCAGCAGCGAGCTATTCACGTATGGATTTGTGTGCAGGGCCACTAGTTTTTTATAAAAACCCCGATCAAGTAGAGCATTTTATGAGAAAGCAAGATCCATAGAGAGGGGGCCCTGGGAGACCCAGGTGGGAGGGAACAGCGGGATCACCGGGGTCGCTGCAGCCAGCCAGGGGCCAGGCAGGTGACCTGGGCAAAGGAACCCAGCTCCAGCCAGCTCCTGGGTCCTGCCTCATCCCACGGGCGGTGGGGCGGCAGGGGTGAAGGGAGAGAGTCCCCACCTGGGGCCCTGCTGCTGCAGTCTGGGCAGTGGGGAGGGCTTGGAGGGCTGTGGTCCTGGCCAGGAGGGCCCCAGGACGTGGAAGGCCCCAGAACGCGGGGCGGGTGGGGTGAGAGTGGGGGACATGCTCTAGTGGGGGTTGTTGCTGCAAGGGGCCCTTGCATGGGGCCCAGAGTCCAGGGAACCAGCTAGGAAAGTACCCAGCGAGCTCCACGTGGTGGAAGAGACGTGAGCTGCACGTGCAGGGGGTGGATGGACAGAAAGAAGTTTCTGGAAGGAGAGTGAGGAGGGAGGGGCCATCTGGACAGGGAGTAAAGGGGAAGGTGGGCTCCCAGCACAGGGCACCTGGCTCTGGGGATGGCTGCTAAGACAGCAGTTTGCTTGTCATCTCAGGCCTGTGGCTTTATTTTCTTTAGTGACCGTTCCTATTGCCGAAAAAGAAAGCATTCGCCGTGCACATCACCCGCCCAAGAAACTTGCCTCGTTCAAGCGGGGAGACCCAGCCCCAGGTCCTCGCCCGAGCCGGTGGGGTGGGGATGTGCCTGGGGCTCTGCCCTGCTCAGAAGCGTGCCAGGCTCGGTCACTGCACCAAGTCCACAGTGAAGATGCACACGGAAGGGAAACCAAACATCAACACGAAATAGGTCAAAAGAAAAAAATATATACATATAATACCAATTCAGTAGATGCCAGAGGGAATTTAGTGAGATACTAGGGGAAAGTACACATCTCCTTAATGTCATACGAAACGTCTGTTGTAAACTAACACTTAGGATCCTACTGCTCAGTAAAACCCAAGGCAATAAAAAACAGAAAAACGAAGTGTGACTACTAGAAAAGAGGTTCAATGATTATTAGAGATGACATTACTGTCTGCCACAAAAACTCAAGAGAGTGGCCTACAGGTAGCACGAGGAGTTGGTGCACATATGCCATACATATAAAAGCCTACAGACCAATAACAACCTGTTTAAAAATGTATTGATCTGGCCCAGCCGGCATCGCTCAGTAGTTGAGCATCGGCCTATGAACCAGGAGGTCACAGTTGAATTCCTGGTCAGGGCACATATCCGGATTGCAGGCTCGATCCCCAGTCAGGGACATGTCAGAGGGAGTGGATCAATGATTCTCTCTCGTCATTGATATTTCTAGCTCCCTCTCCCTTCCTTTCTGAAATCAATAAAGATACATTTTAAAAACAGATCTGTTTTTTTAAAAAGTAATGATCTCAGTAATTAAGACCCAATGTTATAAAGCTGCCAGCTCTTCCTAAAATTACCACATAAATGTAATGTTATTCATTGACATGAGGTCACTAGACAGATATGATACTAAAGTTTATCTGAAAAACATGAAGTGGTAAAAATAATCAAGAAAAAATAATGAAGGGGCTAGTTGCACCCTCAGATATTAAAACAAAACCGTAAGAAGAAAAGCAGCGTGTCCTGCACAGCGCAGCTAGTCCTGGTTTTCTAAACGGAATAAACAAATGCATCCACCAGTGAGAGCTGTGGAAGTAAGTCGTCCAAGGCCTCAGCCTTGCCTAATCATTAACAAGCTGGTAGCCCATCACGCGATACCGCATGCAGTAGGCTGCCTGCCGCTTCCACGGGAGCCGGCTGGGACTGTGCAGCTTCCGCGGGAGGTGGGCCCGCTGTCTCCTCTCTGGGCCTGTGCTAGGCCGCAGAGGCTGCGGACTGGCCCCCCTGTCCCTGTCCGTGTCCTCTTTGGCTCCGGGGGGCTGGCCCAAGCCGGGGCACGGTGGCTCACTGGCCCCCCTGACTCTGTCTCCGTCTCTGCTCCAGGCCTCACCTGTGTGCGCAACCTCCTCCTGTTCAGTTATGACCTGTTATGGCATCCCAGCCTAATTTGCATATATATATATCTATGAATGAAAACTGAGGCCAACAGAATGACCAGCCTAAAGTTCTCAACTGAGGTCAGCTTTGCCACTCAGGAGACATTTGGCTGTGACTAGAGACATTTTTCATCATCAAAACTGGCAGGTGCTACTGGCACCTAATGGGAGAGACCCACAGAGCACAAGACAGCCCCCACCACACAGAGTTATTTGGCTGTAAATGTCAGCATTGCCCAGGTTGAGAAACCCTGGCCTAAGATAATAGGACAGAAAAGGGACTGCTAAAGACAACAGCACCCGACTCTGTCCGAGGCCGAGCTAAGTACTTTCTCTGCCTGCTAAGCTTTATTGAGATATGATTGACCCGTGACATTGTGTAAGTTCAAGGTGTACCATGTGAGGAGCTGATACACGTGATTACTGCAAAATAATGACCACCATAAGGCCAACACCTCCTTCGCCTTGCAAATGGCCGTGGTGGTGCTTGTGAGAACATCGAAGACCTAGTCTCCCAGCAAATTTCAAGTACACAACATAGCACTGTTATCCGCGACCACCACCGTGCGGTCCGCTGGGCCTCCAGGACCTATCCATCCTCTAACTGGGAGTTTGTGCCCTTTGACCAACATCTTCATATACCACCCCCCCCCCCACTCCCAAGCCCCTGGCAACCACCTTTCTACTCTGTTTCTATGAGTTCAGCTTTTTCAGATTCCACACAGAAGTGAGATCATATAGCACTTGCCTTTCTCTTATTTCACTGACATAACACCCCAAGATTCATCCATGTTTTCACAAATGGCAGGGGTTCCTTTTTTTTATGGCTAAATAATATTCGTGTGTGTGTGTGCGTGTGCGTGTGTGTGTGTGTGTGTGTGTGTGTGTGTGTGTGTGTTCTTTATTCAGTCATCCATTGATGGACGCGTAGATTGTCTCCATGTTTTTGCCTATTGTAAATAATGCTGCCATGATTGGGAGTGCAGCTATCTCCTTGAAATAGTGATTTTATTTCCTCTGGATAGATACCCAGAGTGGAATTGCTGGATCCCAGGGCAGCTCTATTTTTCATTTTGTGAGGAAACTCCATACTGTTTTCCTTGCAGCTGAACCAACTTAAATTCCCACCCACGGCGCACAAGGGTCCCTTCCCTTTTCTTCACATCCTCGAGCATTTGTTATCTTTTGTCTTTTTAGAATGTGTGCTAAGTACTTTAAATGCTTAATCTTATGTAATTCACTCAACAACACAAGAGGGAGATAACATTATCCTCTGGTGTTACAGGTAATGAAATTGAGGCTCAGAGAAGTGGAAACACACGCCCAGACTCATTTGGCCAGAAAGTGGTTGAGCTAAACCCAG